CCAACTGGTGGGGGCTTCGAAGCAAGTTCAAGACCCAGCACGAGCCCTCTCCCCCGTTCAACACGCCACGACAGTGGCGCGCCAACGGCGTCCAACAAGACACATGTCTCAGAAGACCCATTTGAAATGAGACGATGCCATTGCTACAACAAGAAAGCAAGCTTTCTAAAATATGAATATTTTTAAAAGCTGTAACGCTTTTCAAAATTTTGTATTTTGAAAGCGAAGCGGCTTGTAATGTAGCAATGGTCATCGGCGAACCGCGCTAAACGCCCGTTTTGGAATACAAAACGTGGGCTGGAGGTCATTTCCCTCTACCCACGTCTCTCATTTTCAAACGGCTTAGCCTAGTTTCCCGCCCACCCACCCCGTAGAACTGGGACCAATTATGGATAGTTGATTGCTTTAGAATAATTGCATGCTAGCTTGGACATATCTGTACTTTGCCATTTGAAATGAGACGATGCCATTGCTACAACAAGAAAGCAAGCTTTCTAAAATTTGCTGATATTGAGAAAGCTTGCTTTCTGGTTCTTGCAAGGCAACGTGCTTCATTTTAATTGGGTAATTACAACATTCTCGTCCAACTTAGCATTACACAAAGATCAACTAGGGGCGGGCGGGTGGGAAGCGGAACTGAAAAGTTCCGAAATGAAGACGTGGGTGGAGGCCAAATGGCCTCCAACCCTCGTTATATACTCGGGAACAAGCATTCGCAGTTGCCTTGCTTCACTACAGTCAGCTGCGCTTTCACAATCTTTATTTTTAGAAAGTGTTTCACACTTTCAAAAAATGTCATATTGAGAAAGCTTGCTTTCTGGTTCTTGCAAGGCAACGTGCTTTATTTTAATTGGGTCTTCTGAGACATGTGCGTGCGTTGGCAGAGTGTGGATCGTGAAGCTGGTTGATGGCGACGTCCAGTGACATCAATTGTTATGCCGGTTGTTGCGTTCTATGTCGACGTGGTTATGCAAGTCGCTCCCTCCTTGTGCCGGTCATGTGTTGGTGGAGTGGGGAGCCATGGTTTATAATGATTGTTGTGCTGGCATCCGCGATGGAGGAGATGGTTGTTGAAGACGGCCCATGTGTCAGGGATGAGGCTCCGAGTGTTGCGTAGCGACTGATACAACGATGTTGATCTTGTTTGGTGAATGGCGGTGTGTAGGGTCTTGGACTAGTGACGTGTTAGCAAGAATGGATGCTTGAATGTGAAAACTGGAGCTGACGGACCAAACATGGAGGAAAGAATGTCATTTGGCTACGTTAGTAGTTGATGCTTTGGTGGTGGGTCTGTCAGACAAGGTTAATGTGTGGCCTTTCATATTTGCGATCGGCTCATGGTACGAAATTTTTAGATTGAGGAACTAAGGTGCCCAGAATGAGGTGTAGTTGCAGGGTAGTGGCAGATATTGAAATATGATGCCTACAGGGGCGGTACGGTATGCATCATCCATAAGGATGTGGGTTCGTAAGAATAATGTTGTATATCAAGACCTCAAGCCATGCGTTACTGACCCATCGGTTGCTTGTCTCCCAGCCCATTTGTTGTTTGTCTCTTGGCCCATCGGGTGCTCATCTCTTGGCCCATCGGGTGCTCATCTCTTGGCCCATCGGGTGCTCATCTCTTGGCCCATCGGTTGCTTGTCTTGTGGCCCATCAGTTGCTCGTCTTGTGGCCCATCGGGTGCTCGTCTCATGCCCCATCAGTTGCTCGTCTCGTGGTCCATCGGCTGCTCATCTCGTGGCCCATCAGTTGCTTGTCCAGTAACCCATCAATTGCTCATCTCTTGGCCCATCGGTTGCTCGTCTTGTGGGCCATCGGTTGCTCGTCTCGTGGCCCATCAGGTGCTCCTCTCATGCCCCATCAGTTGCTCGTCTCGTGGTCGATCGGCTGCTCATCTCGTGGCCCATCAGTTGCTTGTCTAGTAACCCATCAATTGCTCATCTCTTGGCTCATCGGTTGCTCGTCTTGTGGCTCATCAGTTGCTCGTCTCGTAGCCCGTCGGTTGCTCGTCTCGTGGCTCGTTGGTTGCTCGTCTTGTGGCCCGTCAATTGCTCGTCTCGTGGCCCGTCGGCTGCTCGTCTCGTGACCGTTGGTTGATCGTCTCCTGGACCGTCGTTGCTCACAGGCCCTCATATTCGTTTGAGGGTACATTGAGGCCTCAGGGCAGTTTGGTAGGAAGTCGAATTTTGTCCTGATTTGTCAGGGCTGGACTGGGAGAGGTTTGTTGAACCGTCATTACGGAATCTGACGGTAGCCTGGCAGATTGGTGCTACATTACGGTACATATATCCAACAGCATCTTGCAAACTTGGCCGTGCTTTTCCTGCGTGTTAAGTCAGCGACACTCTCATATTGGTAGTGATTACAGCAATGATGCGTTTCCAGGTTGGGCGCGGTCTGGTTTTTGCGCGAGCCATGCAACAAAAATCAGGGTGACAATCGCGGAGCGTAACATACGTTGTACCAGGTCGATGGTTGGGGTACACTGGGCCCCAAGAACATTTTGCGCAGTACTCACTTCCGGACGAGTCCCGACACTATCCTGACTCATCAGGGCCGGACCTAAAGCGTTATACTGAATTTTCAGTACGCAAGATGACCACCACACTGAATTTACATCATCTGTTTTTTTTTTTTTTTTTTTTTTTTTTTTTTTTTTTTTTTTTTTTTTCAAGAGAAGCCCACAACACCTATCCTCAATTCAGGAAATTCGGGATATATTATCCTGATAACTTAGGGCCTGGTTGCGCGTCCTGTGGCCCGTCGGTTGCTCGTCTCTCGGCCCATCGGTTGCTCGTCTCTATCTTGGACCGTAGTGCACTAGTGCAAGATGTCGGCTCCTACCTCATTGTGCAGTGTAGGAGAGTGAGAAGGTAGGATCCAATATATGTCCCTACTACAGCAGCACTCTACCAACTTTACCAAAGTCAGTCGAATGTTTGTTTGTGGCTCCAACATCCGTTTACAAGACCAGGATTGCTTGTGATTTTTTTTTTCTATATCATATCGTACACATAATAGCCAATGATACTACAAATCCATATAGACAATTATCAAGGTTTACAAGTCCGCAGATCCCCCCTCCCTAAGAAGGTGGCCCTCTGGCCAGCATACTTCCCCCTCTGGCGTACCTTTCCTTCCCCCTCTGGAAGTGGTTTTGGCATCGAAGCTCGCGGAACTAGGTCCCCTTCCCCCTTTGGGGGCGGCTCTCAGGCCAACTTGGGGACCCTCGGTCCCCTTCCCCCCCTGGGGGCGGCTCTCAGGCCAACTTGGGGACCCTCGGTCCCCTTTCCCCCCCTGGGAGCGGCTCTCAGGCCAACTCGGAGACCCTCGGTCCCCTTCCCCCCCTGGGGGCGGCTCTCAGGCCAACTCGGGGACCCTCGGTCCCCTTCCCCTCTGGGGGCGGCTCTCAGGCCAACTCGGGGACCCTCGGTCCCCTTCCCCCCTGGGGGCGGCTCTCAGGCCAACTCGGGGACCCTCGGTCCCCTTCCCCCCCTGGGGGCGGCTCTCAGGCCAACTCGGGGACCCTCGGTCCCCTTCCCCCCCTGGGGGCGGCTCTCAGGCCAACTCGGGGACCCTCGGTCCCCTTCCCCCCCTGGGGGCGGCTCTCAGGCCAACTCGGGGACCCTCGGTCCCCTTCCCCCCCTGGGGGCGGCTCTCAGGCCAACTCGGGGACCCTCGGTCCCCTTCCCCCCCTGGGGGCGGCTCTCAGGCCAACTCGGGGACCCTCGGTCCCCTTCCCCCCCTGGGGGCGGCTCTCAGGCCAACTCGGGGACCCTCGGTCCCCTTCCCCCCCTGGGGGCGGCTCTCAGGCCAACTCGGGGACCCTCGGTCCCCTTCCCCCCCTGGGGGCGGCTCTCAGGCCAACTCGGGGACCCTCGGTCCCCTTCCCCCCCTGGGGGCGGCTCTCAGGCCAACTTGGGGACCCTCGGTCCCTTTCCCCCCCAAGGGGCAGCTCTTGGTCCCCTCGTTTCGATGTGCGTGCAGTTGGTCCCGTCGTCGTTGCAATTTTTCCGCGCGACTAGTAGAGTCCGACTTCAATCAGTGGCTTTTCATCCTGTGCCCGTTTTTGCCACTGGCGCACGTGGCAATTTCGTCACTGATGCGCCAGTGGCCGTTGCTTCATGCGCAGCTCATTCTCGGTTGTGCGCACGCCAAGTGCATCGCGGGCGCGATGTTGTACCCTCCGCAGTTAACGCATGTAGCAGCTACTAAGTTATGTTGCTGCTGCAGCACTTGTCCTAGCGTTGTCTCCATACTAAAAATAAGTGTGATTTAGGAATGAGTGAGAGTAGAAGTGGTTGGACGAGAATGAAGCGGAACTGAAAAGTTCCGAAATGAAGACGTGGGTGGAGGCCAAATGGCCTCCAACCCTCGTTATATACTCGGGAACAAGCATTCGCAGTTGCCTTGCTTCACTACAGTCAGCTGCGCTTTCACAATCTTTATTTTTAGAAAGTGTTTCACACTTGCAAAAAATGTCATTTTTCTGATTCTGCCCATCCTGCTTTCTACCATGGCTTGGCTTCAAGAACAATTGACTCAGCAAGCTTCACGTCATGAACGCGTCACAAGAAGGTGCATTATAGCTCTCTCGGATCAGCCAATCGTAGCTCGCCTCTTTTTCTCGCCTAGAGCTGCTATTATCAAGACTGACGAATTTCGATTCGACACCAATGCCATTCCGGCAGATGCGCTCGTCCATCTTATTGATGGTACGCGTAACACCTGACGCCCATCGATTAACCTTCAAGTTTGAGAATCGTTCGGCTGAGATACTTTCGCTGAGTCTCCACTCATCAAGTCGGTCAATCTCGACCGTCAGCCGTCACGCCGGGTCTTTCTACCAGTGGTCCTTCCATCCCGACCCTCAGCGTGACAATTAATGAGGGTGATTTCAGTCCCTAGGATCTCATCCAGTTCTTCTCTCTACTACTAGCAGTAACTTTGCTTTCCCTTGCGAACTGATTCCTACCTAGTTGAGTAATTGTCACCTCATGGCCTTCATTCGTGCTCGCTGCGTCTTACTGTTTGGTAAGCGTTACTCCTGGCGTGAGTTCGCAACACCAATGCCAGCTCACTCAAACTCTTTGCTTGCCAGCAGTCAACCAGGCATTATAACCCGATCGCTGATTTCGCCTCGTCGTGTATGTGCTTCGTGCAGCGTTCCTTGCGGCGGCGCTGGTGACGGTTGCCTACGCACAGAAATCTGGTCAGTTAAAAAAACAAAACCCTCTTGTATTTCCCTTCAAAATTCCACGTTTGCATTCCCCTTCCGGTATGAACACCTTAATTCCACCATGAATCTCCAATGTCACACCGAAAGGTCAATGGCCTGTGACTTTCCAACCTGAACTCACCTTCTCTCTCAGTCTCACCCCAACAGATACCTTCTCTTGCAATGTCTCACCGCCAAGCACCAACCTCACCTCCACCATCCTCCTCCCATTCCTGTCCCCTTCCCCCCCACCCTTCCCCCCCGTGATCTTCCCTCATCTCCCCCTCTCCCCCATGAGCTTTCCTTTTCAACAGTCACCATCTATGCCAAGCTGAATGACTACAAAGAGGTTCCCTCGGATGACACAGAAGCTGCCCGGAACGCAGTTGGCGACCGAACCGGCGGCAATGGGGACATGGCAATGAGAATCTACAAGTGAGTCCGTCAGGGACACATTGTTGCTCCATGTCTCTCCAACAGCTCCTATTTTGGAGTCCGCAGCTCCAGCAGTGGAGAGCCAATGGCAGTTGCTCTGCGAATTCCTTCTTCCATGTTCAAATCTTGAGTTTGTCATGCGATCCACACTTAACCATGTTAAAATTGTCTTCAAAATCAACCCCCGTTTTTCGCTGGTGTGCGATATGCAGGAGAAGAGGTCAGCCTGTGTGGACCGAATACTCAGTGATGCCTGAAAATATGGACGAAGATACGCCTCCGACCATGACGCAGATCCACAAAGCACCAGAGGGATCGAACGGTCCTGTGGTGTTAGATCTGCCGTGCACGTACCAGCAGATGGGGAGCAGAGACTGGTTATGCAACGGCAGTCTTGGGAAAGAAGCAGCGGAACGGACTGGAGAGCTTGCGTCGGCCCTCAAGGAGCTTTTGGAGAATCCGAGTGGGTTCTACTTGAACCTTCACACGGAAAAGTATCCTGATGGTGCCATGCGCGGGCAGTTTTTTAAGAGTTGATTAATGTATACACTTCATTGAGTAGAACCAAAAGAACTTGTGAGAAGTGAATAGTACGGTAGGAGTCAGGGGGAGTCCTGTTTGCACTACAACCACAAGCTAAGGAGATGGTTAGGGGTGAGGGGAGTGTGTAGTTGGGTTGGGTTTATGTGAGTGGGGGTGGGATATGGGGCTGCTACTTCTTATTGTGTGTTTTTGGCTTTCTCTGTTTTCATTGCTGTTGGTATGATGAAACTACAAGTGAAATGGGCTTGCTTCCCTGATGTACTATAGTAAAAACAAGCACCAAGCTGCATGCATCTAATTCTGTGCCTTGCCTTGCCATGTATGCCTATCTACCCCACCATAGTCTGCTGATGAACCTCCTTGTTCCCACTTCCCCCTTCTCTGTTCCATGTGAACCTGCTCCCTGTTCCCTGCTCCCTGCTCCCTGGTCTGCTGATGGCGCTTCTTGTTCCCTGTTTCCTCTTTTTCTGATCCATGTTCCCTGGTCCATGTTCCCTGGTCCATGTTCCCTTATCCATGTTCCCTGATCCATGTTCCCTGGTCCATGTTCCCTGATCCATGTTCCCTGGTCCATGTTCCCTGATCCATGTTCCCTGGTCCATGTTCCCTGGTCCATGTTCCCTGGTCCATGTTCCCTGATCCATGTTCCCTGGTCCATGTTCCCTGGTCCATGTTCCCTGGTCCATGTTCCCTGATCCATGTTCCGTGGTCCATGTTCCCTGGTCCATGTTCCCTGGTCCATGTTCCCTGGTCCATGTTCCCTGATCCATGTTCCCTGATCCATGTTCCCTGATCCATGTTCCCTGGTCCATGTTCCCTGATCCATGTTCCCTGGTCCATGTTCCCTGATCCATGTTCCCTGGTCCATGTTCCCTGGTCCATGTTCCCTGGTCCATGTTCCCTGATCCATGTTCCCTGGTCCATGTTCCCTGGTCCATGTTCCCTGGTCCATGTTCCCTGGTCCATGTTCCCTGATCCATGTTCCCTGGTCCATGTTCCCTGATCCATGTTCCCTGGTCCATGTTCCCTGATCCATGTTCCCTGGTCCATGTTCCCTGGTCCATGTTCCCTGATCCATGTTCCCTGGTCCATGTTCCCTGATCCATGTTCCCTGGTCCATGTTCCCTGGTCCATGTTCCCTGGTCCATGTTCCCTGATCCATGTTCCCTGGTCCATGTTCCCTGGTCCATGTTCCCTGATCCATGTTCCCTGGTCCATGTTCCCTGATCCATGTTCCCTGGTCCATGTTCCCTGATCCATGTTCCCTGGTCCATGTTCCCTGATCCATGTTCCCTGGTCCATGTTCCCTGGTCCATGTTCCCTGGTCCATGTTCCCTGATCCATGTTCCCTGATCCATGTTCCCTGATCCATGTTCCCTGATCCATGTTCCCTGGTCCATGTTCCCTGGTCCATGTTCCCTGGTCCATGTTCCCTGATCCATGTTCCCTGGTCCATGTTCCCTGGTCCATGTTCCCTGGTCCATGTTCCCTGGTCCATGTTCCCTGGTCCATGTTCCCTGATCCATGTTCCCTGATCCATGTTCCCTGGTCCCTGTTCCCTGCCCCTGCCATCTTCACTCCCCTAGTATGCCTGAAACTTCCAGCCAAATCCACTCCTTGGGGCCTACTCCTGCTCCCCCTGTGCCACACACAGCTCACATTGGCACAGAAAGCCGTAGTCTGCTAGCGCTTCCTTTCGATCCTCAGTGGAAGAGACTTCAATCGATTCCAACCCATTCCCTAGGTCCTGGTACCTACTCCTGCCCCCCCTGTGCCACACACAGGCCACATCGGCACAGAAAGCCGTAATCTGCTAGTGCTTCCTTTCGTTCCTCTAGTGGGAGAGACTCCTCAACATATGATATGAACACCTGTGGGTGATATTGGGAGGGAGGAGGGGGGAAAGGTGGGGGAGAAAACGTAGAGACTTGTATTGGGCAGAGAGAAATCCGGCCTGGAATAAAAACTGTTTCAGAAACAACTTATCCTGCCCCGATTGGATTACCAATGAATGCATTGAAACAACATGCGTCCAAATACATGGAGAATGGATGGGAAAGACCCGAACAGACGAACCTGCTCTCCTTTCTTGATGTCTCGGCTTGCCAGCAGCACTGCTCGACCATCCAAGTCCTGCCACGTGTCACAGCAGCACAGGGCCAGAGTTAGTGATTGTCGCAGCACAGGGCCAGCAGTAGAGTAATGTCTGCTGAGCTTCAGAAAAACTCAGGATCTACTGGCGAGTTGCATGGGGGCGAATGTCAGGTGAACCAGTGGGGCCTCCACTCATAACGTTTTTTTGTTTTTTTTTTCTCTTTTTCCCGCAACGTTGTATTGTTCATCCTCATAACGTCCTTTGGGTGGGAGAAACTATGGATGCAGGCCTCCTCAACTATCTTGTGCAGGCCTCCGTAGTGCTTCTTGTGGTGTCCTCACCATGACCCACCATAACATGCATCATGCAGATTGGACGCTGTTCCAATCACTTCAACCATCTTGTGCAAACCCTCACCACATCTCGCTTGAAGGCATGCGGCTTTTTGAGGCGTCTCAAAAGCCGGTTCAGGACGACTCAAGAGTCACCTCTTGGGAACTATGGAAGCCCTCAGGAAGACGGAGGGCATCCTCACCATACATGACCCACCATCTTGCTGCAAACACTCACCTCGTCTCGCTTGAAGGCGTGTGCATTCGGGCAGCATGAGTGGTTGATGCTGCTCTGAAGAGAGTAAAAGGCCGTGCCTGCTAGGCAGAGAACGGAGAAAAAGAGAGAGACAGCTTTTAAGTTGATGCAAAAAGGGGAGTGACACGTGGATAAGTGAAAGGCAGTGCCTGGAGAAGTGGACCGAATGACACAGGGAAGGTAGAGCTGTCAGTTACAGTAGAATCGGACAATCGAGATTCAAAAAGCATCGAAAGTGAATTCAGATACAAGGATCTGATGTAGGGCAGTGTGGCCAACAGAAAGAAGCAGCAGTGGATAATGATTGCTGCAGCAATCCATCATCAGCACAGCGCACACCAGTGGCAGCAAATCACCGACTTCTGAGCCGACTTAAAAGTAATCAGCAGCATTGTCATACCTTGACAGTGCCACTGCAGCAAATCATCATAATCACTATCATCGTCATCATCATCACCATCATCCTCCACCTCTTCATCCCCATCCTTCCCTGTACCCTCCTCTTCCTCATCGCCACCATCCCTCCCCCCTCCCCCTTGCTCTAGCAGCTCCCTTAGCGGGCCAACCACTGCCTCTGCAGGTGCCTAAACCAACAAGCACACGCGCATGGACAGGTGTGTGAAATAAGAATGAAATGCCTTATGAAGAATGAAATGTCTCGATATATATGAACATATCTATATACATATATATTCTTCTGTGCTTTTTTTTTTCATCCGCTCAATTGCGATGCCTGCACGAACAAGCACACATATGCACTGACAAGTGCACGAAAAAAAGAGTGAAATGAAACATTTCAGAGAGACTGAGATGAGATGTCTCATCGAGAATCAAAGGCCGCATAAGTAATAAAATGTTAGACAGTCATACCCTGTGCATATCTCTGCTTTTTCACCTGCTCAGCCGCACTCATGTCTTGAATCCGATTGAAATAGGTTGTTACTGGGGAAGGCACTACCAGGTCCCTGAAGGGAAGGCCATGGGACGATAGGAACGAAAAGGCTGTGTTGTGTTGAAGCAGGTTGATACTGGGGAAGGTACCAACATACTTGGGAGAGTGGGAGATGGGAGGGAGATGATGATTGGAAAGGAAGCTGGTTGTTGAGGCCCTTACATGAGTTCGAACATGTCAATGATAGACCCGTAGACTGAAAGCGATAGCACTAGTACGATCTGGTGTAGAGCTTACATGTAGTTGATTTAAATTCCAGGCACCTCCAAAGGACTAACGTAGCTGATTTGAGATGCTTACAGATTGTTGAGTTCAAACATGCCAATGATAGACCCGTAGACTGATAGTGACAGCACTGGTGGGAGGAGAAGGGAAGGGAATATGGAACGAAGAACAGGCATATTTCTCATGTGATTCCACCACCGTACAAGCATGGATGCAAGTACTTCACCTGTCACGGCTGCATGAAATGCTGCAGATGGCTCAAATAGTTCACCTCACAATTAACACAGTACATGGTTACACTCACACGGTTACACTCACATGGTTACACTCACACGGTTACACTCACACGGTTACACTCACACGGTTACACTCACACGGTTACACTCACACGGTTACTCACACAGTTACACTCACACGGTTACACTCACACGGTTACACTCACACGGTTACACTCACACGGTTACACTCACACGGTTACACTCACACGGTTACACTCACACGGTTACACTCACACGGTTACACTCACACGATTACACTCACACGGTTACACTCACACGGTTACACTCACACGGTTACACTCACACGGTTACACTCACATGGTTACACTCACATGGTTACACTCACATGGTTACACTCACATGGTTACACTCACATGGTTACACTCACATGGTTACACTCACATGGTTACACTCACATGGTTACACTCACATGGTTACACTCACATGGTTACACTCACATGGTTACACTCACATGGTTACACTCACAAAGTTACACTCACATGGTTACACTCACACGGTTACACTCACATGGTTACACTCTCACGGTTACACTCACATGGTTACACTCACACGGTTACACTCACACGGTTACACTCACACGTTTACACTCACATGGTTACACTCACACGTTTACACTCACATGGTTACACTCACACGTTTACACTCACATGGTTACACTCACATGGCTGCAGCACAGGCGGTTGTGGGCCTATGGCTTGAGTGAGCAGTTTGAGAGACTGAGGGAACAGGGGAATGGAAAGGAGGAAATTGGGTAAGGAAAGAAAATATAAGGGAAGAAAGGAGGAGTAGAAACGATGGAACAACAGGGGAAGAAGGATGAACAACGGAAGAAGAGGAGGAACAGGGGAAGACAGTACAGACAGTCACAATCTGTAGCAAAACTAAGGTAGCGAATTCCACAGAAGGAAAATCAAACTAGTCACAGCAGCAAAGATACAGCAGTGACCTATGAACAATCTGAGCCGTCCATTCACCTCCACCACACCTCCTCGGCGATCGATTTCATGCAGGCTCGGAAGGAAGCTTCCTCGTCGCTTCCTGCTTCCACGTCAGGCGGGCAAGCCACTGCCTCCCACCATCTGCAACGGCGAATCACGAGAGGACACGTGGCGTCAACCAATTCACAGAAAAATACAAATGGCAGCACAAATCATAATGGCCACGCACTTGCTCTCCCCCCCCCCCCCCCCCTCCCCACTCACACAGCCTTGTGACCCACAGCAAACGGCGTCCATGCCTCCAGCACCACCTTCCACCTCACACCACCCCTTCACTCACCCCCCTCCTCACACCATTCCTTCTCACCCCCCTTCACTCACACGGCCTTGTGACCCACAGCAAACGGAGTCCATGCCTCCAGCACCACCCTCCACCTCTCCTCCCCCTCCCCCTCCCCCTCCACAACATCTCCTCCTCCTTTCCTTCCGAGTGAGGAGTCAGCGGGGGACAGGGCTGATGCAACCACCTGAAATTCGAACATGAATGAATGAGAGACAATGCATTTGTAATGCATAACCGAGCAGGTTTTGAGACGTCTCAAAAGTCACACAATGCATAGCCGAGTGCCTATAGTGCTTCGTATGTCCATCCACCCCATCCTTAGGTGAAAGCAGCTTAGATAGGTGCTCAAGTTTTTGGAACAAGGCTATCGTACATCTGTCATAAATGCTCCAATGGGAGCAATCAATCACCTTGGCGGCCAATCGGAAGATGTCATTTGATTCTGCGAAGGTTGGGATGGAGGGAAAGGAAAGGACAGAGACATTGGAAAGAGAAGGGCGGAAATGGGGAATGAAAAGAGAATGAAGAAGAGGCTGCTGAAGCACCTCGAAGACTGGAGGACGGCAATCGAGAAGAAGAGAAAAGGGGGTCGGATGGTGAAAGGAAGACAGATAGCCATGGCCTACTTGGGAGAGGATGATTGGGTGGGAAACAAACATGAATGGGAACAAACATGAATGGGAGCAGATAAGAGGGTCCTTGGCACGTGAGGCATGGCTCACTTCAGATCAATTTTGAAAATACTCAAAAAGTTATTTCAGATAAGAGGTGTCAGTAGCAGACAGGTGGGCTGCGATGCAGTGATTTCAGATAAGCGGATCCTTGGCACGTGAGGCATGGCTCACGCTTTTGAGTCGACTCAAAAGCGGATCCTTGGCCTGTGAGGCATGGCTCACGCACAGCATGGCATGGGCACGAGTGTAGAGTCCCAACCCCTTATCTTCCCTCACCATCAGGTGACTTTTGAGTCGACTCAAAAGTCACCCCTTATCTTCCCTCACCATCAGCATGGGTGTAGAAGGCCTTGAGAGCCTGAGTGTCCTTGGCATGTGACGCATGGCCCAGGCACAGCAAATTCTCAACCCTTGTACCTCCCATAACGCTCAGCATCAGCATTGCCTTACCATCAGCATGGGAATAGAAGGCCTTCAGGGCCTCAGTGTCCTTGGCATGTGAGGCATGGCCCACGCACAGCATGGCATGCCCATCCGCCCATGCTGACGTGGCACAGGTGGCGCTGATGAAAGGGGTGCCGTGATCCATGGGGTAGTGCGATGGGATAAGGGGGGATAGGGGAGGATATGCATACAACACAGCATCATCACTTGCGTATGGCATGGAAATAGTGGACATGGGGCATGGCATGCATGCAGCGGCATGATTTGCAGTAGGACATGTAGTATGGTTATGGATGGGGTATGTATGGTATGTCATGAGGTGTAGAACATGTGGTATGCAGCAAAGGGGAAACACGGCCACACCATCAGCATCCCCTCACCACATACACCCTTCCCCCCGTGCGCCCTCCCCACCGCCTCACCTGCAGAAGGTCTCTTGAGTGCAGCCGCCAGGGCACGGCACAGCAGAAGGCAACGCACCCACACACTCCGCATGAGGCAGCTTCAGCTGCCCGCTTGACAACTGCTCTATGAACCCCTCCACTGCTGCTCCTGCTGCTGCTGCTGCTGCTGCTGCTGCTGCTGCTGCTGCTCCTGGTGATTCCTCTTTACTTCCTTCTTCGCCTTCCTTTTCCTCCTTGTCCTCCTTAGTGTCCTCTTGATCCTCCTCGCCTTTTTCTACCTCTTCCTCCTCTCTCATTCCCTTCTGCCACGTCAGCAGCCGGGCAACAGCTTGCTCCAGCGGACCAATGAAACGCAAGCAGTGGGAGCAGACCAGGGCTCGGGCCTGTAACAGGGGTTGAGGGTATGGGGTTTGAGATGAGGGTTCAAGTTGTGGGGTATGACGTGGAGACAGACAGATGCAGCAGCTACTCTAGCGGGCCAACGAAAAGCAGGCGGTGGGGTGGGACGCCAGTGCTTGGGCCGAGTTTTGAGTCGACTCAAAACTCGACTAGCTACTCTAGCGGGCCAATGAAAAGCAGGCGGCGGGACGCCAGTGCTCGGGCCGGAACAAGACAGGAAGGGACGAGAAAAGAGAAAGGGAAGAGGAAGAGAAAGTGGGGAGGAGACGAAAGCATGAACAGGATAGTTGACAAAGCAAGAACGGAGAAAAGTAAAATTAGTGCAATAACGAATGGGGCAAGAATAGGAGCATACTAGTGGTTTCCGGGTACTGGATGATACTAGCACACTCGTTGCCCTAATCTGAGTGTACAGATTACCCTATTGTGAGAGTGTTGCATGCTGACCAACGGAGGCTCCTGCAGCACCACGTCACCCTCCTTGAAATCCACGTCAGCAAACACCCCTGATTGGACGAGAGTGGAGGAGCCAGCACACACAAAGTGCAGAGAGAGTAGATCAGCTGACAGCTGGCAGCCTGGCAGGCAGAGCGTGCATGCAACGTGACGGCCTATGAACGTTCCTAAAGACCGACAGTGAGCAGATTAGTGAAGCAATTAAGTGAAACAAGGGCAAGTTTCCTTAGAGACCTCGTGCACTGGACGAGCTTGGGGAGCCCCTAGTTTAGAAGTTTAGCCTAGGACGAAGTTTAGCCTAGGATGAAGTTTAGCCTAGGACGAAGTTTAGCCTAGGACTCCCCTCCACTCATCGTCGCCTCATCACCTCAGAAGAAGCGGTGGGCGGTTTCAGTCTACTCAGCCTAGGACCCCCTTCCACTCATCATTTCGCTCAATCTCGCTCATCCCCTCGCCAAGCGTCGCTCATCACCTCGCCCCATGTCGCTCGTGTGTCGCACAGCGAGCCCTGCGCCCACGCCCGTCGCGAAGAGGTCGCGGAAAAACCGCTGAAGCACGGGAATTACGAGGTGGGAAGACGTTAGAACACGCTCGAGGAACCATTTCGGGGTTGGGGAAGGCGAAAGGGGAATGTGGAGGGGGAGAAGAGGAGACGAAGGGGGAAAGAGGAAGGAGGGAAAAGGAAGGGAGTGGATGGGCGAGGAGGGGGAAGGGAGAAATTTCTTGCGTGGCAATGAGAGATGTCTGATACTACATTCCAGTTACGATGTCACTACGCGTTGAGTCGACTCAACGCAAGGGATCATGGAGCTACGGCGAGGGCAATGGAGACCTCGGATACATTCCAGCGACGTGATTACGTCAGAAAAATGGAACGAGGAACAACTCGCAAAGCTGAAAAATGAGAGACCGGCGACTTGTATAATGCCTTCTATCGCGTACGTCGGCTACCGCCTCCGGCGGCCGTTGCAGCAACTGCTCCTCTCGCGACATCGCCATGGGAGATCGAGCTAAGCGGGAGTTCAGCGCGCGTGAAACTCGCCTTCCTGATGCTGCGGCTGGAATCCAGTGATGCCAGCTTCTAGAATTTCCCGTTGACCGTGAAACTTTGAGTGATCACAAACTTCGCTACCATCTGATTCGAGAGGAGAATCGTGGGGCGGAATCATCGCGTACGCTTTTTAGATATGAACATAATTTGTACACTCCACATACAATGTTGATACACATCCATTTCATTGTCACAATTCCTTCCTGGTTCCACCTTTTCAATAAAGTAGAACATCCACACAAAAATAAAACATTTAAAGACAAACTTACTCCCCAAGCACATCCACAGGTCAAACCAATGTAAAATGTAGACCCCCACTTCCAGTCAACAAGCTAGGCCCTGCATGGAAGGATCCATGCACTGATGTACAGCTGCAATCAAACCGTTCCATCTTTAGAAGCCTACTGAGGCTGGATACAGCTTCACCAGCTCTACTGATTGTCCCAAGTGGAGACCAGAACGGATAATATAAACAGCAGGCAGTAGGATGGAGAGTACGGTAGAAGGCGTGGCAAGGCAAGCAACGCACTACCCAAGCTGGAAGGGCGGGCAGGGCAGCATGTCAGTGGTAGTCCACCGGGGCTGGGTGCTCCTTGAGATGCTTGCCTGCCTTGATGATGGTCTGCCATGGGGGGTTATGAAGTGCGGGAGGCAGGAGGGTGGGAAATTGTGAGGCACGGGAGATTGCGCCGGCACAGCAAGGAGAATATCCGAGCTGGAAGGGCGGGCAGGACAGCATGACAGTGGTAGTCCACCGGGGCTGGGTGCTCCTTGAGATGCTTTCCTGCCTTGATGATGGTCTGCCATGGGGGGTCGAAATTCAGGAGGCCAACCAAGAGAGATTGCAAGACGAATCAGTTCCAGACAGAGGCATCAAAAGAACAGAGCTGAGGCCATGGGAGTCCCAGAAGCATGGTAACTCCAGCAGATTCCACATCTTAAACTCACCGTCGCGTAGTGGTTCATCAAGTGTCGCGTCCCTGGGCAGCTGCCAGCGATCCCCACACACACATGAGGTTACCAGGTAACCGCATTCCCTTCCAACTCACCGCAGGCATAGTGGGTCACGTCCTGGTGGTGTGCCTCGTCCGCCCGCACGGACAGCACCACGTCATACAGCGTCGCACCCTTGGGCAGCTGCCAGTAGTCAACTGGAACCTCACTCCCCACATGCCCATGTGGTAACCAGGTAACCGCACTGCCTGACTCACCGCCGCATAGTGATTCACGTCACGGTGGTGTGCCTCATCCGCCCGCACGGACAGCACCACGTCATACAGCGTCACATCCTTGGGCAGCTGCCAGTAGCCAATCTCACTCCCCACATTCCACACGCGCATGTGGTAACCAGGTTACCACCAACCCCAGCTCACCGCAGCATAATGGTTCACGTCTCGGTGGTGTGCCTCATCCGCCCGCACCGACAGCACCACGTCATACAGCGTCGCATCTTTAGGCAGCTGCCAGTAGTCGATGGCAATCTGCGGCGCCGGCACATTGGCGATGCGCCCCTCATCGATCTCCTTGAGGTACTGCGTGTACGAGTGCACTGCCTCCTCTTCCAGGTACCCCACGATGCGGTGCGCGATGCGCGGGGAGAGGAGATACACGAGCCCGTACACTGCAGCGAACCCGCTCTGTTGATTTGGAATACAGGGGTTGACAGGAACAAGAAGTGCCCAAAGAAGGAAATAAAACAATAGTTGGTCATGCGCTCTGCATCAATTTCCTTCAGATACCACACGATTCAGTGTCCGATGCGCGGGGAGAGGAGATACACGAGCCCGTACACTGCAGCGAACCCACTCTAATGAATGCGGTAAACAGGGGGTGACAACAGAATTGAAGGGATGAAAGGAGTATCGACGGACTATGCATCTCGTTTTTTAAGGATAGGCTGGGTCTCACCCAATGATTAGCTCACGTGAACGGACCCCTCACCTGAACGGTGAATATGAGGCCGCGCTCGAACCACGTGGGCTGCGAGACCTGCATGAAGGTCATGAGGTGCATGCGCTCGTTCTCCGCCTCCTCCATCAGCGCGCGCAGTGAGAGAGGGATTGCAGTCAACCCACGGCTCACCAAAACCGCTCACCTGAAGTGAACTGCTCCCCGCAACGAATAGCTTACCTGAACGGTGAATATCAAGCCGCGCTCAAACCACGTGGGCTTCGAAACCTGCATGAAGGTCATGAGGTGCATGCGCTCGTTCTCCGCCTCCTCCAGCAGCGCGCGGATCCACCCGCCGCTGTTCTCCACGAGGCGCAGGCAGCGCATGTGCAGCAGCACGCCCGCCACCATCCCCGGCACCGCCGCCACGGTCTCCAGCATCATCGCGCGGCAACCGTACCGTTTCTGTGCGGTGCAGAGGGGTGAGGGGAGGGGAGGAAAAGGGTGGATTTTGAGTCTGAGTCGGAAGTCACCTCGTTTCCGGCACCATCGCGCGGCAACTGTGGCGTTTCGGCGCGGTGGAGTGTTGCGCGACGGGAGGAAATGGGCGACGAGGAATAGAGCAGATAGAGAAAAATGAACCAGACGAGCGGAGTAGCTGTAAAATCGACAAATGCGTATGCAGCAGAGCTAAGAGATGAGGGCAAGGAACAAGACAGCGACGAGGTCCTGGCGGGAATCTGGTAACATAAACGAAGTGCGGAGCGTTGCGAGGCAGAGCAAACACCTGGAAGAACAGGTCGGTGGGGAAGCGGAGCGACTTCACGAGGTACTTGGCGAAAGCGTCACCGAATCCGGTAACCGGAAAGTGCCTGTCAAGTTCTGTCTTTCGGTTAGCGGTGTAGCTGTCCATGGGCTGCGCACATCACCAAACGAAAACGGTGAGTGACTCAATATCAAGGATACAAAGCCGAACAAGCCCACAAATCATACGTACATTCAATTAGTAACATGAACGCTATATTCTCCTAACAATATCTCTACCCCAATCTTCATATTTTTCATCACAACAAATCACTCACCCGGAAGGAATTCCAGGGCCAGGGCGTGCCATCCTCACGCAGGTACTGCTTGGGCTTGATTCCCCAATACTGGGAAAGCGCTTCCGGATCCAGTGCAATCTTCTTCATGTCTACTGGAGGCTCGTTTTGCGCCTTGGGCTGCACGCCAGAAAGCAAACCAGCGTTATTTGCGAGGCTGCAAATATTGCATGCTTTTGTTGAAGTTTCAGTCGACGACAGCCAAGAGAGACGTACTTTGACAAAAGGCGTTTGTAAGACAAACATAGTCATTCAGTCATGTCGTTTACCTTGCTGCTCTGTGTGTGATCCTCTGGCTCTTCTTCGACGATTCGAGCTGTAGCCGTGTTATGTGGGCGGATTTGGATCTTGAACCGTTCAATCGTCGAGCTCGCAGCAGTTACACCGCCAAAACGCGGCTTCTGTGTCGTCCACTTCTGGCCAATCATCGCGCTAGGCGCCGGCGAAGCCGCCGCTGTGGTTGAAGCGTGAGAGACGCTCCAGTAGGCTGCTCGCGACACTGAGTTGGAAGCCTCGCCTGCCGCGGAGCCGATGCGCGCTGCGGGAGCGAAATTTGACGATGACGTGACGTTCCGAAGTGCGCCAATCCTCCCAGTGCTCTCGAGCTGCAGCGAGAAGAAATAAGACCCGGCATAACTACTACGACGGTAGTAAAAAATACGGCAAAAAGTAATTTGTTAATGCATGTGGATCGCTTACCACAGTGGTGTAGCAGGCGAATCGTAATGTTGTCTGATATGCGGGATGTCCCAGCAACCTTCGAGCCGCACGATGGTTTCTCAATACAGCAGCAGCAGCCATGATGACGATTGATTCTCGCGTATGATAGAACTTTGATTGAACACGATTGTTCGCTAGCGATATCGACGGAAGGTAGTGGGAGGGTTTGAAATGAGATGGGGGTGGGCGGGACGGGTTGTGGCGATGAACGGAGTGAAGTTGACGGAGTTGTTGACGCTGCTGCTGCTCTGTATAAGGAAGTCGCCTCGATTTCAGCCTTTTTGTGGAGCTCGAATGTGAAATTGGTGCAATCAAGCTGGGCCTTATGAGCACAGCCAAGATTTGTTCGAGTCGCGTGAAGGGTGAAATCGAGCCGCTGCTGGGACCTGATGAAGTGAGGCATTTGCCCACAGTTGAGCTGATTGTTCCCATCCCAGCACCGACATTGCAATTGGGCGAGTTTCGCAAGTACGTGGCATGAGACGGCCCTGGTAACTTCTCGCGAAGCCTGCGACGAGGAGAAATTTGCAGCCGTCAATACCAATATGAGGTGGGGAAAGCGAACGGCTGCCACGAAAATTGTCCAACCAGGTGACGCAGAAACTGCGGGGTCGTGGAGATGGCGAAGCTGATTTGCTGAGCTTGCTGACTCGGCTGCCGCCGAGAGGAGTAATGGCGGACGAAGGTTCATGCGAAATGTCTTCGACGATTTGTGCGGCCCAGGCGTCCGTGCAATCCGTACAAACCGTCTTGCCTGAGTCAATCCGATTCTTTTGCTTTTGCTATGTGTTTGAGAAAAAAGGTACACCAAGAGCTATGGTACTTCTACCTCTACATGTAGATTAACATCCATTAAGTTTTGAAGGGTTTGCTTTGCCTGCTCTGCATGCCGAAATAACATTCAACCAAACCAAATCATACAGCTTTCTGCAATGGGGATTATAAAAATATTATATTTCTTCGACCATCATATTTTCTTCCTCAGCAACATCATATACAACAGAAAAGACAAGCCGACACGAATCAGGCGCTTGAGAATCACCTAGCCATGTGCCACATCAGCAGCACACTCATGCCACGGACCAACCACGGCATGCCAGCAGGCATTGGGGGGAGCAGACGCCGCCAGCACATGCATGACTGCCGCCCGCGCATGCTCGTCCCAGGCCCTAGCCATGGCTGTCAGCGTGAGAGGGCCCTTAGCAGCCCGCATGGCTCTGGTAAAGCGGTCCATGGCGTCTTGAACCACCGGTGATCTGTAGCGGACAGCGGAAGAATGGAGAGGAAAGGTAAGGACGGGAGTGGGGAGGAAGAGCTGTTGTACCATAAAATCCATGCAATGCCCATGGCTTGGCTTGGCTCCTCGCATGGCTGTGGTAAAGCGGTCCATAGCATTGTGATTCGTGAAGCAAGGGAGATCGGCAGCAGGGAGTAGAGGAAAGGGAGATGCGAGGCTGTGTGCTCTCGACCCATGGTTAGCCATGGCTGTCTGATCGGCACCACTGAGTTGACTTTTGAGTTTACTCAAAAGTCAACTGGCACTCTCAGCGTCGGTTAGGCTTTAGGATGCTTGCATGGCTCTACTTTTGAGGCGCCTCAAAAGGTTAGGCTTTTGGATGCTTGCATGGCTCTACAATCTATTGAAGCGACCGAAAGCATTGTGAACCACTGGGAATGTGTTGGAGGGTGGAGGGACACATGTGGCACGAGCAGAGCAGCAGGCAGGAGCAGAGAAGCAGGCAGGTGGCAGAGCAGCAGGCAGGAGCAGAGCAGCAGGCAGGAGCAGAGAAGCAGGCAGGTGGCAGAGCAGCAGGCAGGAGCAGAGAAGGAGGCAGGTGGCAGAGCAGCAGGCAGGTGGCAGAGCAGCAGGCAGGAGCAGAGCAGCAGGCAGGAGCAGAGCAGCAGGCAGGAGCAGAGCAGACAACAGCTGCTCGCATGGTTGTAACATCACCTGGTGTGTGGGTGGGCTTGGAAGGGCCATGGTTGGGGCGAGCAGTGCGGGTAGGAGCCGGGGACGAGCAGGCGGAGGGGAGGGAAGGGAATGGCCACCTGTGGAGTGGAGTGGAGGCATGACAGGGCGGCAGCGGGAATTGAGGGACGGAGGGAAGAGGGTTGCTTATTAGCTCGTGACCTGGAAGGTGGTCTGGAAAGAACAACGCGGCATTGTTATGTTAACGATAACGTGGCACGAGCAGTGGGGCTTTCATGAAAGCCCTACCGGCCGGGGCAAGGTGTTGACCAGGGGAGCTTTCATACAGGCAAAGCACGTGTCCCGTATTGTGCAACTTGTGAGCAGGCTCAAACTCCTTCCAAGCGCACGGCTTAGGAAACGCATCAACTGAGCAAAGGAGTGCGAAAGTGCAGCAGCACTGCGACACCATCCTCGGCATTTTTCAGAATTCCCAATAAGGGAATGTGGGAGTGCGTACCGAGGGAATGTCAAAACACAGCAGCACTGCAGCGCCATCCTTTCTTAGGGCGTGCGCTCTGCTGGTCTTGTTTAGAGTCGACTCAAAACACGTACCGAGGGAATGTAAAAGTGCAGCAGGACTGCGAAACACGTACCGAGGGGATGTCAAACCGCAGCAGCACTGCAGTGCCATCCTTGCCCAGGGCGTGCGCTCTCCTCGTCTCCCTCGCGCTGACCTCCACACTCGAGTCTATCATCTCCTCGTTCAGCCGCTGCGCCTCCCATGTGAGCGCGGCGTTGAGCTGATGGCACCGGGGGGTGTAGGTGCAGTGGTGAAGCAGGGAGAATAGAGACGAAGGAACGAGGGGGAGAAATAAGAGGGAGAAATTACGGGGAGAAATGAGGGGGAGAAATGAGGGGGAGAAATGAGGGGGAGAAATGAGGGGCAGAAATGAGGGGGAGAAATGAGGGGGAGAAATGAGGGGCAGAAATGAGGGGCAGAAATGAGGGGGAGAAATGAGGGGGAGAAATGAGGGGCAGAAATGAGGGGGAGAGATGAGGCGACTTATAAGGCGCCTCAGAAGTCGCCTGGAGTCGCTATCCACGATAAGAGATGCATGCTCATGTCAGCATGCGCATCCCTTCTCACTGCAAATCCCTCCACGCACCTCCCTCCTCATTTGCTTCCTACCCATGTCAAGAGATGCATGCTCATGTCAACATGCACATCCTTTCTGACAGCAAATCCCTCCACGCACCTCTCTCCTCACTCGCTTCCTCGGAGGGAACAGTGCCGCTGCAGGCTGTGGTAACTGAGAGACGCATGCATATTGCAGCCCAGGTCCCTGTCAGGGACCACCCAAATCCCTCCACTCACCTCTCGCCTCACTCGCTTCCTCGGAGGGAACAGCGCCGCTGCAGCCTGCGATCGCGACACCAGCCATGGCCCATCCCCCACCCTTCCACCCCCCTCCTCCTCCTCCCACTCCTCCTCCCACTCTTCCTCCTCCTCATCCTCTTCCTCCTCGTCCTCCTCCTCGTCTTCCTCATACGACCCCCAGTTCCTCTCTTCCTTCACCTCCCCATCCCCCATATCGCCACCACTCAGCTCCTCGCCCTCCCCGTAGCCACCACCAGCGCTTAAAGCCCGTCTTGCGTCCCCCCCTGCCCCAGCATGCACAGCGCTGCTGGTGAGGGTGCCCTCATGGTCTACCACACTCGCTGTCACCGATACCACCCTCCTGCTGCTCCACCCCACACTGCCAGCAGCAGCATCAGCACCACCAGCACTGGCAGCACCGGCAGCAGCAGCA